GGGCTCAAAAAAAAGAGAACTGGTTCACCATTTAATGGACATTAGTGAACATTTGCTTCAACAGACACCCCTTCCCTCACTAGTCCATTGAATCAAGGGTTTACTGTATTGCTGACCCTCTCATCCTAGGTCATGTAAGACTTGTTCAAATTCAAAGACTGAAATATAGCTGAACTTTCTTTCTAACTTTCTTTCTTTCTTTCTTTCTTTCTTTCTTTCTTTCTTTCTTTCTTTCTTTCTTTCTTTCTTTCTTTCATTTATATGGCCGCCCATCTCACTTGCACGTGGCTGGGTGGTGTACATAGTTAAAACGCAACTAACAATTATAATCTACAATTATTAAAAAAACCAATTAAAAAAAAAGAGTTAAAACTGCAGTTAAAAAGTAAAATAAAAAGACAAGGGGGAGTGCAGTCTAAGCGTAAATACAGTGCAACCATGTAACAGGCTCCACATTTCCTTGCAAGCCCCAAGCCCAATGGCACATCCAGGTTTTGAGGGCCTTTTGGAAGGCCAACCCAGTTGGGGCCAATCTCACCTTGGGGGGAATGATGTTCCAGAGGGTGGGTGCCGCAGCAATAAAAAGATCATTGACTGACAGTTTATAGAATGCATCTGTTCTTGTGTTGCAGGGTAGGCCAATATTCAGTCTCCCAGATGTTATTTATTTGTTAATTGTCATCAAATAGTCTTCAGCCTTTGCTGTCTTAAACCAGCTGACAGAAGAAGAAAACAGTAGGACTGTGCACGTTTTGAAAATGATTCAGAAGTGCTTTGGAGTCTAGCACTTCCCTGGTATTTGTTCAACCCACATGTCTCAAGCTGCTGCATCAGCCTCCAAAAAATGCCACTGCTTTAAGAAGTCAGCTTATTAAAGCACCCACAACAGGGTCTTTTTTTTTTTTTGGATTGCATAGAACCTGAAAAAAGACAAGTTGTTTTAATGAATAACAGAAAGACAGTGTGCTGGTCCTTGCATCCCAAAGCATTTCTTCCAAGTCATTTTCAAAGCATTCATAGCCTTATAAAACATGCAATTGTTCGTGTGCTGACGCTTTAAGAGACCAGCTAAGTTTTGCTTTTGCAGCTGAAATCTCTATTTCAGTCAGGGAGTGGGCTTTTTTTTTTTAATCATTCTTTTTTTTTTCTGTGATTACAAATATTTAAAGTCTGGTGCATGCTGTTATTCTTACATTTGCAATACGATGGTTATTATAGTAGTCTTAATGATTGGTGGATTTTAGTTAATTAAAAAAAAGGTTAAATATATTGATCAAAGAAAAGGCTATTGATTAAAGAAAATTTATCTGCAACAATAAATGAGGATGAGCTAACAAATTTGCTGCAAATCTTGTTAAATAAAAAAAAATCCCTAAACCATGGAATAATGAGCAAGTCCTTGCTTCACACAAAAAAGATAATAGCACTGGCAAAACAAGTGCTTCTTAATAATATTTTTGCAATTAAAGTCTGAGTCTTAAATGAAGAGATTGAAATTCAATTTCCACAAGGCTGGATTGATGATATATACGGAGCCTGTACTCAGTCCCAGAAGATATTATATTTAGATCCATCACTTGTTTTCATTATGTTGTGATACAAAGGAATTGTAGTTCTGAGCAGCAATACTACTGTCCCAGAACAATATTCTGCTTTGGCCTTTGAGAAATTGCACAATAGTTAGCCCCCAAAACACATGGCCAAAAGGTGTTTTCTCAGATTTTATTGGTTTTAAACTCTGAGACAGGTTGTATTGTTTGGGCAACACTAGAAGAATAGTAATACATCTTGAGAATGTACAATGGCTAAGAGCTGTAGAATAGTTGCATTCACAGATGGCTTTTCTCAAAAAACCCTGGGTGTGGTAAAGTAGTGCCAGCCCTTTGAGGTAGTCCAGACAGGAAACCAAAACCATGAGTACCAATACTATCTTTATTGTAAGGTTCCCCCCTCCCCTGCCTTTACTTTCCAGAGAACTAGGGAGAGCCCATTCTGAGATGCTTTCTCCACCCCCATTCCTGCTTTGGACTCAGATATCTCTTATCAGATCATTGTCTAGGCTGTGGCTCTTCCTCCTGTCTCTCAAGATTATTCTCACAGCCCATTACAAGTAGTGGAGTCTGTATTATTCAAGCTCCACAGAGTCTTTTGGGCAGAGGTGTCTGCAGGGGTAGGTGAGGGTGGATGAGTAGAATTGGGGAAGGGGGGCATATGATGAAAGGAGAGTTGTGACATTGTCTGCATATACAAAAGGGGCAGAGCTTGCAGCCTGACAATGCTTTGGTCATTTTTACAAAATTGCTGGATCCTATGAACATCTCTGCTACTGAGTGACTTCGGCCCAGTCACTCTCCTGAAGCCTGACTAACTCACAGGATTGTTGTGATCAGGATAAATTTAGGGGAGATCCTGATTTCCAGAGGAAGAAATTGTGGACTGAAGATGGATCTGGAAAGCAGAGCCGATGACCACAGCAGAATGAAGGGCAGGCAAGTAGACTGGCTCTTTGATCATTCCTATCTGGACAAGGAGAGGATTTGAGATCGCCCACAAGTGCTCCAGACAGCTGCTCCTCATGAGGAGATCACAAGATAGCAGTCTTCAGTGGGTTTAGAGCTCTGGGAGGCAAGGGAATAACCATGTTGCTCAAACCACAGTTGGTGCCTTTGAAAAGACACTAAGTTCGCATGCTACTTTTCTAATCACTTTTGGAAATTGCTTGTTAACTGTTTTTCAGCTATTAAGAACCTTTGGATTGACAAGGTTTACAGCACCAGGTGAGTTTCCTTCAATCTTTAGCAAAAGAAGTTTGAACTATAAGTTTAAGAACTTAATTTTTTTTCTTTAGAATAAACATCAAAAGGGTGATTAAAACTTTGATTTTAGAAAGTCACAAATGGACTAAGGGTCCAGATAAATTTGAAATAAGATTTTGGAATTAATTATAAAGAAACTTTCCTGTGAGAAAATGCTTTGGTTTTGAATTTTTTAAAAAAACATAAGTTTTTAAAAATTGGACACTAGAGGGAACTAGAAGGAATTAAAGATTACAATTAAGAGAAGAACACTTAAAGGACACTTAAGCTTGACTTACAATTACAGAATGAAGCAAAATAACATTGGACATATTGAAGGATATTTTTGAATAATGAACCCAAAAGTTAATTTTAATAGTGTCTGTCTCTATGGATAGACTGTGTCTAAAAGATGTTATGGAAGAGGAATAAGTTCTACCTGTCAAGATTGAGACTGACTTGAAAGCGGATTTACAAATGACACGTTACAAGAATGACATGGAAAAAGATGTTACACTGGACATACAAAAGAAACCGGCTGAAGTCTTAATAATTAAAACAACAAACCAAGAGAGTGTCCTGGATAATTTTCCTATATTGGATTTACAAAAGAGGCTTGTTAAA